CACCCTCTGTGTATAAAGAGCTGTACTGATTTGATGCTTAAGGTGCTAGACAAGCATGTGGGACTGGATTCTAAATGAGGTCTGGAATTCAAATACCTCTGTTTCCATGTGTTCCAAATGATGAGAAGAATAACTTTCCTGACTCTGTCACAGCATTTTCTAAAGATAATTCTGATCTGTTTCTGCTTTGTATTCTCTGATCTGTTTTTGAAACAGGAGTATTTCACTTAAATGCATCCATGCCTCTCAGACCTCTTTAAAACTTAATACTGTAACTTGCTTTCATTTATGATGCAAAATGGTTAATAATCATAGAATCATAGAATTAACTGGGTTGGAAGAGACCTCAGAGATCATCCAGTCCCAACCCTTGATCCAACCCCACTGTGATTACTAGATCATGGTACTCAGTGCCACATCCAGCCTCATCTTAAAAACCTCCAGGGACGGTGAATCCTCTGGGCAGGCCATTCCAATGCCTGATCACTCTCTCTGTAAAGAACTTCTTTCTAATATCCAACCTAAACCTGCCTTGACAGAGCTTAAGCCCCTGCCCTCTTGTCCTACTGCTGATTGCCTGGGAGAAGAGACCAACCCCCACCTGGCTACAACCTCCTTTCAGGAGTTGTAGAGAGTGATGAGGTCACCCCTGAGCCTCCTCTTCTCCAGACTAAACAACCCCAGCTCCCTCAGCCTTTCCTCACAGGACCTGTGCTCAAGTTCCTCAATGTCTTCAATCCCAGAAGAACTAGTACTGTTTCTGACTCAGCAAGTTTTGGTTTTATGTTAATGTAATGTTGAAAAACAAACAAACAAAAACCACATAAAAAAAACCCAGAAAGTCCACAAAAGTCACTAAGCCAAACTTCACAGCATCTTCAGTTATAAATTGCTGTAGCTGATTTCTCACACATTCTTTCTTACTTTTGTAACCAACTGTCTGTTGCTTACAAAAAAAAAGCTTATTTCTTTCCATCTAATGACACACAGAAATACCATATTGACCTACCACCTTTTGATGCATTCCAAATAAACGGGTTTTTTCTACAGTACTGAACCTTCTTAGTTTGAAGGCATGATGTTATGGTTTAAAAAAAAAAAAAAGCAAACAAAAAACCCACCTAAAATTGAAACTTAACTTAAATATTGTCCTTTAGTAAAGTAGACAGTGATTGTGGAGGATTTTAGCAAAAACACCCAAATGATTTGTCAGAGAAGGAATGTGACTAGGAGTATGTAATTGCTTTCACATTTTTCCAGGTTTTAGAAAATACTTTTTCCATGTTTGCAAGGTTACACCCACTCAGTGTGGTTACATGTTTGCAAGGTTACACCCACACACACTCACTGAGCGGCTGGTGAAGTGCTCTAGTTTTTAAGGCAATATAATGAGCAGCTAGTGAGGATGGTTTTCCCAGCTGCCAAAGGGTTTTTCAGAGTTGTAATGATTGCCATACTACTGTCAAGCTGTCATGGACTAAGTGAAGGTTTTCAAGAATGTTTGGTGGGATCGTGGGTAGCTGTTTTTCTGAATGCTGTAGAAATGCTAGCTGTTTCCTAAAATGCCAAAACACAAAAGATGAACTGCAACTAGATCTGTTTGGCTGTGCACAATAATTATGAGTGTGAGATCTGAAGGAGGAACTGCCATTTTCCAAGAGGATTGCATCATTCAACTCAAGACTGAATTTCTACCTAAGATGACTAACACACCCTAGATCCTTATAAGCTCCTCTACAGAAGAGTTGTCCTTTTGGCCTCTCCCAGATTGGAGATTTAGTTTGGTGGATGATATAGAAACAATCATTTAATCAAGATGTTTTTATAGTTATCAATAAGAGGCATTTTTAGGAGTTGCCAAAGTTTAGAAACTTAATGTGATCTTCTTTCACTGAAGTACAGAGCACTAATGACTCCTGATGAAAGCAAAGTTGCTGTTCATTGATTATTAAAAGTGCTATATAGAGAAGTTTGGAAAAGTAGATTTCGGAGATGTCAAACCAACCCATATATGGAGATGTTGAGATTAGATGTTTATTGTTCAACTGTCATATCTGTAAAATTTGATATTTTCACCTTGAAAGATGTGATGACCCCTGTTTTCAAGAGTACTAGAATGTATGTGATGTAGAAGGCTTCAGAGCAATGAGAAGTTTGTTGTAATTAAAGTTCAAGGCTCTACATTTCATAATTGGTTACCCATGAGATTCCGAGGAGAAAAAAAATAGCATTTGATCACACAATTGTTTTGTCTAGTACTTGCTAAAGTTGAATGCTTTTTTTGCAATGCTTCTAGTGTTAATTATATATGTGGCTTAAGTATAGTATGCACAATTTTTTCTTTTTAATACATGGCCCAATCAGCAGTAGATTATTGTCTGTTTTGCTTGGAAAAATCCACAGACCATTACAGTTCAGCTAGTGTTAAATAGCCTTCAATTAGTACTGCTTTGTAGAAGATATGTGAAACTTGGTCTAGTGGAATGCTATAAAGTGTTTCAAAGTGATCACTGGAGTTGACAAAAAAGATGTGAACACACATTGTTAAGGGTGAATTTTGGGAAGATAAACATATAAACTTGTAGACTGCTCATGCATACTAATCTCACTTCTTAGTAATATGTACTCTTTGCAGTTCAGTAGTTAATCTGGTCAAATTTTGCTACTATCTTTCTGATACTGCATTGATCTTCTGTGTTCTGTACTATTTATCGTAAAATTCTAAATCCCATACTGCCCATGCACCAGTTTGACTCTCAGTACTTCAACTGCCAATGAGAAGACTTCTGGCAATTTGTTTACTACAGTCTTGTCAATAGTCTGATCAATATATTGAGTCCAGCTATGCTTTCTGTTCCAAATTAACTTCTGAAAAACAACGATGTGCCATGTGGTAGGCTAGTATATCATTTTCCAATCTTCTTTACCTATTAAAATGTCCTTAGAAATTAATTTTCTGTTTATCAAGTTTAGTTCTGATAAGGGTGTTTGGACTTTCACAGACACACATGGAACTGAAAATGTTTAAATCTGAGATACTGAAAAGAGCTTTTCATATTAATCTGCATTTGCCAATCTATTCCAAAGTACATTTTAACATCAAAACACTGATTTGTGTGTTTTAAAATTTTCATCTTAAGGTTCAATATTAACTTTTTAACTTTATGGAATGATATGGTATTACATCAGTGTTTACTTACTGTTTAACTATGCCCCTGTGTGCAGAAATGCACGCAGTAAGCATCTTCTGAGTGGGAAGCCTCTTACTTTTCCTAGTTATTTGAGTAAATGGGGTGCACAAAAATAAGCAAACTTACTTTTCAAGTCTTGATTATTTTAAAAACCTTCTGTAACTGCCAGCATGTAAAAGCAGAGAAAAGTGACTTTTCCAATAATACTCTATTTGGCAGACCATATGGATAAAGTTATTTTTGGAAGGATTTTAAGTAGAAAAAAAGATGACACACCAGCTTTAGTAGATTATGCAGTACAATGATTATACAAATTATTCCTTCACAGAAAGTGGAAATGTGTTTGGAAGTGACTTAACATACAGCAACATGTAAGTAATACGTAAACAAAATACACATTTGACTACAGAAAGTGTCTAAAACTGCTTATAAAACTTCCATGGACGTTAAAAGGATATTTGTTTAAAGAAAACATCTAATACAGGAAGTCAAGTTTTCTGCTGTTAAAAAGTTAGTTTTAATGTTTAAGTACTCTTTGAAAACCTGATTCTGACTTAATGATACAATAATTTGAGCATTTATATTGCCTTTTTTATTCTTTTCCAAAAGCAGAGCAGTCTTCCATGGCTTTGTGGTTTTTAACATACATTTTGTTTATAATTAATAGGATCATTCTTATTTATGGTGGTTGTTTGTGGCACCTGATATTTGGGGGTTGGGGCATCAAGCAAACTTTATTTCCTTAATGATTATAGCTGTATTTTTCACAGACTACTGTCTGACCTGGTGGATTTCCTTTCTCAATGTACCTATACCTCTGTCTGTTGCCTGGGAATTCGATGTCATAGATGATGGTGATGTTATACAAGCATGACCTACATATGCCATTTTGTGAAAAGACTGGGAAAATATGGGGTTTTTTTCTTTTTTTTTCCCCAGTCAATAACATGAAATTCAGTCTAAAGTAACAGATTTTTTTAAAAGGTACATATACTTACAGGTGATATGTTTTGGGGGGTTTCTGTGTTTTCTAAAGTGAGAATAAGAGAAAGAAATAAGAGGCTGGATATGAGAAACTTAATCTAATTGGCATGGGATAAAAAGAACGGTAGGGTAATTGATGGAAGATCTCTGCTGTGAGGGAAGGTGGAGAGAACTGGGTTTCGTCAACCTGGAAAAAAAAGGCCTCAGGTTGACATCATTGCGGCCTTCTAGTACCTGAAGGGAGCCTGCAGTAAAGACGGACAGGGACTAGTGATGAGAGCACGGACAAGGGGTAGTGGCTTTGAGCTGAAGGAAAGGAGGTTTAGAATAGATATTAAGAAGAAAGAAGTCTTTACTAGGATTGAAAGGCAGTGGAACAGGTTGTGGATGTCCCATCCCTGAAGGTGTTTGAGGACAGGTTGGGTGGAGCTCTGAACAACCTGATCTGGTGACAGGTGTCTGTCCATGGCAGAGAGGTTGGAACAAGATGAGTTTTGAGGTTCCTTCCAACCCAAGCCATTCTTTGATTCTGTGATTTTAAGAATGCAAATGTTGTAGTTCTGGGGTTTTTTACAGGATATTGGTAACTTACACTGATAGTGGCTAAAAGAAATCCAGTTTTGAGTGGGACACAATAAGGAATGAGCTTTTCAGTATGTTGTGCAGGAAAGAGAATATGTTTTACTGTCAGAATCGGTGACATGTATTTACTTCGTGGGACATTACAGAAGATACACCAGCAAACAAGCTAGTTATAAGTGAAGTAAACAGCACCTTCCTGGATCATAAAGCTGATTTCATTTATATGTTTTTTTATATGTTCAGTGACGAATAAGAAACCAGCTCAAGCATCTATAACAAAGGTGAAGCAATTTGAAGGCTCTACATCCTTTGTCAGGAGAACACAGTGGATGCTCGAGCAGCTTCGCCAGGTCAACGGTATAGACCCTAATCGGGTGAGTTTTAACAGTTCTAGAGAATGAGCTCGTAGGTAACTGATTTGTGAATCAGTTCTTTCACTATTCAAAAGGCATGTGGAAAGATACAGATTTAAATGCAAATTCTCAATGCAGGAATAACTCAATGGGATATGTGAAATCAATTTTAATGAGAAAGATGAGAGGAGGCTAAAACTCAGTTGTACGTTTTTTTTTCTTACTGTCTTTCCATACTTTTCTTCCTACTTTCCTCTTTTTAAAAAGAAAAATAAGAGCCCTGTTTGCCTTTGCTTCAGCTATAAGCTTCTTGGGGTCTACTTTGGCATGCAGCTGTTTTGTGAGATAAAGCAATAGGTAGACATAAAGACAGAGGAGATTCAAGTTTGTGTAATATTGCAAACGTTGCATTTTTTCCAGGACAGTCCTCTCCTCAGATACTTCTGCATTTCTTATCTTTTGGTACAAAGGGTGGTAGTGTCCTTTAGCTGCTAATGGCAAGTGAATGCTGATTTAAACAAAAAACTACCAAAAATAAAATAAAACAAAACAATCCCACAATAAATAGTTCTGGAACTGTTCCTTTAATTTGGAATATACAGCCCACTTTAAACTGTCTCAAGACAAAGTCATACTAATATGCAATAAGCTTATGAATACAATTCTCCAGTAGTAAAACAACATAAGTAGCAGTTAGAAATGTGCCTCATACTGTGTGATCACAAAGTGACTTACTGTGTTCCTTGTAGAGCAAAATGTTTTTGTGACTAACTCCCTTGGTTTCTTCAAAGCTGTGCTCTGATCAGCCACCTAAGCATCTTAACCATGCTGCACCAAATTCTGTTACAACCTGTGACAGATTTGTACAAATTCTGTCTTTTGTACAAAAAAGGAAGGCCCTCGGCCACTGCCTTATGAAATGCAAGGAATGGAATTATATTTTCTCTGGGTAAAGGGACTATGAAAACGAGAGCAATCAGAAATAGGTAAGGGAAATGAGTTTTAGACCCTTTTACGGCATCTACTGTGCATCTGTGTACATAATGGATTATAAATTCTGTCAAGTTCTTAAGCTTAGAAATGTTCCTTTCAAACTTGTCTTCCTATGAATTCCTACTGTCATCAATTAAAAAAAAAAAACAGCATTTACTAGGTTGGATTACAAAACGATGTTTAGCAAATATTGCTAAATATATAGCACTACTTCTTGCATAAAATCCATTTGTTTTGGCAGTTGATGGTATAGAGCAGCGTTTTGATATGTTCTGGGAATGGTCTTTTGTTCACATTGTTCTTAGACCTTTGCAACACTTCGTGATAATGCATTAAATACAGTAACTAGGACTTGTTATTTGCTTAGCTTATTTGCTTAGCTTATTTGTTTAGTGGAGCATTGAGAGCAGAACCACATCTTCTATAATAGTGTGAAAGTAGATTTTGTGTTGAGAGGCATAAATGCTTGCATAATATAAAAGACACAGGTAACTATATATCTGTAGATAACAAGGGTTTTTCAAAAGATTTTCATTTTGATTTTTTTTTCATCTAAAGTATATTTGTTTTCAAGTATGTTTGTCATAGCTGAGTATTCCTCATTAAAGATAACAGCAAGAACAAAACTTACTTTCTGTTTGTGTGTTTTTCATCCAAAAATATACAGTAACACCAGGCTGGTTTTGATTTGCATGATCTTTCTGCTTTTTCCAATATAATGCATTTTAAAAAGGAATAACTCTATATCTTTCTCCTAATCATTTATAAAACTGGAATAATAGCAGTGTGGGTTTTTTTTCTTCTAGGATTCCCCAGAATTCGATTTACTATTTGAAAATGCTTTTGACCAGTGGGTAGCAAGCACAGCTTCAGAAAAATGCACATTCTTTCAGGTTCTACATCACACTTGTCAGCGATACCTTACAGATAAGAAACCAGAATTTATCAACTGCCAATCTAAAATTATGGGAGGTAAGTCAGTTGAAGCTGGAATACTTTGTACAGGTGAACGTGAAATGATTTGCATGTGATTTATTCTGTGTTCAAATAAGCTTGTAGCCTAATGACATCTTGAAATTATGGTTCTGAAAATGTTAACTTAGCACTAAACTTCTAGGCTTTAGCATTTCTCCATCAGACACCACTTCACACTCTTCTGTTATCTTTGCTTCCCTGGTTTTCAGTTTTAGAGGCAATATCGCCTGCCCACCTTTTGAGAAGTTGTTTGCCTCCCTCTTTTTAAGGAACTTTGATTTTGATTTGTCTCTCTGCTTTTGTTCATCCAAAAACATTTTTATGTGGTCTGAAACATCTACTACAAGCCTCTTCTGCATTACTGGTTCCTCACAGGTTGTAAAAAAAGTGCTTATTACTAAAATTCCTATGGATGTTTTGGCATTTACTTTCATCTTGACATAAATCATTCAGTTTAGAGTTTTATTACCTTTGTGTCCTGGTTTCAGCTAGAATAGATTTCTTCTCAGTAACTGTTACAGTGCTGCGTTTTGGATTTGGAATGAGAACAGCGTTGATAACACACTGATGTTTTGCTCTTTGCTGAGTAGTGTTTATCATAAGTCAAGGACATTTTTATTCTTGTCTCATGCTCTGCCAGTGAGGAGGTATGCAAAAACTGTGAGGGAGAACACCTGGGACAGGCGACCCGAACTGATCAAAGACATATTCCACACCATAGAATGTCATGCCCAGTATATAAACCAGGGGAGTTGCCTGGAAGGGGGTCAGTCTGGGTTTGGGAAGTGGGGTCTGGCAGTGGTCAGCAACTGGTGAGAGATTGCATTGTGCATCACGTGTTTGATTGTTTTTTTCTTTCCCTTCTTGTTTTCATTATTATTAATATTTACCATGATTGTTGTTTTTTACTTTTCCTTTGATTACTCAACCTACAAATTTTTACTTTGATTCTCCTCCCCATTCTACTGGGGTGGCAGAGAGAGAGAGGAGTTGAGTGAGTGGCTGCACGGTGCTTAATTTCCAGCTGGACTTAAACCACAACAGTTTCTTGAGTCACATATGTTTAGGAGCATTTCCAAATTCTAAAAACTGAACCAGACTAAAAAATGTCTGCTTAGGTAAAAAGAGTTTGGTCAATATGTGAAATCAGTATTTACAATCTACTTCCTGAGTAACAAAAAGTATTTTGGGAGGAGGATTTTCACATATTTCACTAAGTATTCTTTAAGAAAATAAAATTGTTTAGTTATTCCTTTAGTCTGAAATTTCTGAAAACAGTCTTCTTTTGTGTGCTCTAAAGTAGAATACTTTTAAAACTTTTACACCTTCTCTGTTCTTCACAACTGGAATAAAAATTTGTTTTTATCAGTGAGCCTCCAAACTGTAAAAGAGAAGTGCAAGCTGAATTCAGGTTTCTTTTAATTGTTGTTTCTTTCCCCCAGTAGACATCAGTTATAAATATAGAGAGCCCTACTCATTTTTTTTTTCTTGTAATTCACCTCTCATAAATCTAGAATTCATACCTGTACATTATTATCAGAACTATTATTTCATGCAAAGACCTTTATATGTTCTTTTTTTCTCATTGTTATTTTGTCTTGAATCCCTCTCCTCTAAAACATCAAAGGTAAACTTGAAGAACAGGGAAACCATATCCAGTTTGATGCTTTCATTTTAGCTACTGACAGTGATGTTAGTATCTTTGTATACTAATTTTTTTTACTTTACTAAAAGTAACTTTGTCAATCATAATTTTCTTTTAGTGTCTTCTCAAACAAAGAAAAATTGTACAAAATTTCTTGTATGCTTCCTCTCTCATTCTTTCCATTTCCACATTAATAGGATTTCCTTTGTTTCCTTTATGGTGGGGTGGTGAAGAGGGAAGAGCAGTGATGGGAGAAGATATACTTTACAATTTTTCCATTTCATACAGAAAATCTCCTGTTTGTCATCTGTTTTCTCGTGTTGTTCACTTGCATCCTTCCTGTGAATAAGTTGTTACTAATGGAGCAGCACACATTTCACCTCTGAACTTGTATTATTTTCCTAAGCTTGACCTGTTCAAAGTTGAGTTCCTGGTTCAACTGACCCAGTTATTAACTTTAGCCTAAGCAAGTGTCATCATAGTGAAAAAAAAACACCTCATTGCCACTGAGGTTCGTAAACATCTGCTTAACTTCTGCTTTTTTAACATACATTAGGCCCTACCACATTCTCCTTTTTACAACTTCCTAGATAAAATGGGAGTATTCAGTAATCCTCTGATACCAGATGGTGACCATTTCCAAATTCCTTTCATGTCGTTCTGACTGTGCACAGATCCGGTCTGTGTGTGTACACAGACATGGTGTGTGGACAGAGTGTGGACATGGTATAGGGACTAATAAATTTTCTCATGGATACAGTGCTTCTTGCTGTTCTTTACACTGCCAACTTTTTCCTCACACTGGGAATTACACTCTCTGTGAGTAGGTTTAAATTTGACAGAAACTGTAACAATTGTAAACCAAGTAATAGTTGACCCTAAATTTCAGTCACTTGCTGTGTGTCAACCTCACTGAGCCAACTCAAAACCCATTTAGTCCAAAACCTGCAATATTGTGAGGATTTTTATGGAAAATACAGTGAAATGTGTTGTCGATCTCAAATTCATCCTCACTGAAGAAAGTAAGGTCCAACTGTAGCTAAGCAAACCAAAGAACATATACCTGAGAATATAGCTTGAAATTTATTAAATTCAGTTGAGAATTTGCAGCTTGGGTTTTTTTTGTTGTCACTGTTTTGTTGGAGTATTTTGCTAACCAGTCAAAGCAGTATATTGAAATCATATTTAAATCTTAGTGTGGTCAGATTTCAGAAGAGGCTTGTCACTTCATCCCCTCTACCAACGTAGCATTTATGTTTTAAGTAATAGTCTTGTGAACTTTCTGGGGAATGTGAAAAGTAGTGGTTTGGTTTGGTTTTTGTTTTTTTTTTTTGGATAGTTAGCCTGTTTAACTCTGGATACACTACAAATTTTTTAAAAATACATTTTTACAATATATATATGTGCATACACCCACATGCTTGTGTAAGTAACTATATAGATATGCACATCATGTATGTAATGTAAATCTTCTAGCTAATGCATATTTTCAAAAATAAAAAAAAATGCCACCAAAGAACACTTCTTCCCAAGTGGAACTGAAGATAAAAGAACTTAAAGGGTTTGCTTGCAAGCTTACTTATCTTATTGAGCCTTATTCCTTCCTAAAGGGTAAGAGTGAAGAAAGTGAAATTCATGCTGCTCCCATTTCTGCAGGCAGTGCTTAGCTGAAAGTAAATAAAGGTGTTCCTGTGGAACTGCAGACCCTCTTCATGCCCTTCCTCCTTTTACCTCCTCACACACACACATGCACTTTCCCCTACAGGCCAGAGCCCTGCCTCTGATTCTTCTTCTTCAGAATCACTTTTTTCCTTATTTTCATTTGAGTATCATGTAAGGATATTGTCTACAAAGTTAAATAGGCTAGACTATTTTCTATAACTTGATTAATGACATCAGTAATTACAGCAATAATGAGAACCGATTGAAGGTGTGGGTGCTACTTCTGAGAACAAAGAACAACTTAAAGTTAAAGGATACTGTAAGATTCCTCCCACTAATTCCTTGTACTAAATCTTTCAAGCTTGTCTTTTGTTTAGAATTTAGGTGAACCTTCTCCATAGCTTATGTGCATTATGGATGTTAGAGAGGAAAGAAAGGCATTTGGGGCTAGAGCACTTTTTTGACTGAGGTAGAAAATATTTTCCCCTTTTGTATCTTTATAACATATAGATTGTGATACTGGAATATGTCTAATTTGGAGTATCTTTGTGTTACGTTGTTATTTGGTGGCCATGTTAATTGGGTTGTGTTGCTTTTATGTCAGTAATATGAAAAGCAAAGTTGGAGATGGCCAGTATGCAGAAATTCTGTCACTTAGAAGTTGTGTTCATTAGAACAATTTGATTGACATAACAGTAAGCTGGAATTGAGGATGGATTTGACTCTCAGTTCTGAATAGCACCTTGAGATACAGCATTTCAAGCTCTTCAAAGATTAATTCTGGGCCTATAATAAAGAACAAACAGTTACTGCCACCTTTAGATGCATATTAGAAATGCATTTGGGTTTTTGTCCTGTCTATATGCTTTGGTTTTTAACCATTCTTCTGCTGAATTAATCAAAGTGTTCTTTGATGACATCTTTGCCTCTGTAACCTTTTCTGTAGGACAGCTAGCAGGAGTTATTAATGGAACATTCTTTATTCCTCCAAGAATGTACTACCAGTGCAAGAATGGTAATGAGTACTTTTCCCATACAGTGTTGACTCATTTTGGCTTACCACATATGAGACCTGGTTAGCATGTAGTGTTGCTTACCATACTGAGCAAGATTAATGACTGACTAAAGGAGATGAATGAAAACTTGTGTTAGAAATTGCTCTGAGCACCCTGATCTAGTGGGTGGCATCTCTCTCTGTGGCAGGGGAGTTGGAACTAGATGATCCTTAATGTCCCTTCCAACCCAGGCCATTCTGTGATTCTATGAGTTTGGATGGGAAGAAAGACAATTGCTCCCCTCTGTCCTGTCAAATACCTGGTAGTTGGTTGTTCCTTTCAGTTCTTACCTGATAGACACTGAAAAAAGTGTGTAATTGAACTTACTATTCTTACAGACTTTCACTTGTAAATTAATTCTGGTGCAAATGAATTTGACCAAAAAAAGAAGTTATTGTCAGTCTAGAGATTGAAATATTAGAAATTAATTTTCTGCTGCTAAGGACCATTTCAGATGCTTGTTTTTGTGCACTGTATATTCATGTCAAGATTATTCTGCTTTGCAATTTTTTTTTTTTATTTAACTGGATGTATTTTAGTTATCTTAAGCATAAAAGCCAGGTGTTAAGATCACAATGGATAACAGTAGTTAAATGCTTTTTCCATAGAGATATTGGATATAATCAGAGCTCTAA